AAATGTTGAAAGAGAAAYGTATCTATTTGCAACAGTTAAAAAGAAAATCAGTTGTGGCAAGAATATTGTTACTTATATCATATTCAGAGACTTTTCCTTGAGTATCATGCACAGTTCTGAACTTCTAAAAAAAAATCTTTTTTGCTATAGAACCAGGTAAAATGAAATAGATATCTTCCCAGAAATTATTCAAAATAACATATTAGCTTAAATTTTTAAATTATTTTGAAAATAAGAAAAATCATAATGCCATTCTGAAAAAAAAAATGCTATAAGGACAAGTAGGTATGACTTTTAAAATGCTTTAAATCAATAGCAAACCATAAAGAACGTAATTTTCTATTTTGACGTTGTCTATAAAGCAAAGTATTGTGCATCAGAGGGGCTTCTTTTAATTACAATATTCAGAATTAATTCCCCTTTAGAAAAATAGAAAATTGATCCACAAGCCAATTCAGAGTTTATCTACATGCTCAGTGCATATGCTTTGTGTATTTACAGTGCATTTCTTCAATTTGAGCTGAGTCCAAGTGTCCTTATTTTCCCCTGATGTCTAAAGACCACAAGATGTAACAGGTATTGAATCACCTCKAAAGCACACAATCTTTCTTCCAGTAAAGCTAACTTTGTTTATAACATAGTTAAAAATTAAACAGCAGAACTCCATAGAAAATTAGATGTTCATATTTATCTTTCATAACAACAATATTATCCCCAAAATTCTCTTTAAGAACCTAGAATGTCATGACTCCAGATTTCAATTTCAGAACTTCCCATTTCTAACACTTTCCATCACAATGCCCTTTGCAGGCAACTACAATAGAAAATGAGATGAGGTTTTTATATGTCTAATAAAAAAATTTTGACTCCAAAGAATATACAGCGGATTTCACTGGGATTTTGTTCAATAAAGCTATTTAGGTTTTAGGGGATGAAAAGTCTCCAAAATTTTAAGGATATTTGCTTTGGTTTCTTTATTATGAAGTTTTATTCTTATTTGAGGTATCAAAAACCTATCTATTTTTTAAGTCAGCATTAAAATGACTGTTCAACCAAAGGTCACAGACACCAATTCTGAATAAAGCTTTTGGTGCCCAAGATCAATTTACCAGAAGTTAGACTAACCCACGAATTGGGGAGGTAGAAGCCATAAAAACTTGGTACCCTATCCCCATCAAAGAAGCCCACATTCTCCCATTCCATGCTAAACAATTARTTGGCATTTGCAATTGCCCAGCCCCAAAGACTGCTGAGCATCATGGGAAAGCATGATACAACTCCCAACTCGGCATCACATGCTCTTTTCTTTTCCCACTCACATAATTAGTGCTCCTTTCCTTCCCTTTTAAAAATGTGCCTGTTTCAAATTTGTATTATTTTTTTCAGATGTCTAATTTCAGTTACGTTCTTTCCCTCTTTGGTCTCTTCCTGAATTTCACATTCCAGACAAATATTTAAAGGTCTGTAAAACCAGGCAAGTTTCCAAAATATTTCTAAATGAAACTGCTATAGGTGACAGAGCAGGGAAAGAAGGCAAAGCTTAAAGGACAAATTTTTGAATAAACTGGCTGAAAATGTGTTGGGAAATCTATCTAGGTTGCTAGAGCCATGGGTGAGGTTTCAATGAGGCATAAACATTCAAGTTGCTGACAAAACCAACATGTTTCATGATCACTCAAAATAGTCTGCTTGTCATGGTGCATTGCTTTATTATTATTATTAATAGTAGTAGTAGTAGTAAGTCACTGTTTCTCTTAAATTATTTTCTTTCTTAGTATTCAGGAAGTGAAAGCATTTAAGAAAACATTCAAAATTCTGAGAATATATGTAAGTGAAATATTTAATGTCTGTTTTTCATAAAAAGTTACATCATTTACATAGGGTTCATTTGTATATAATAAAAATTTCATCATAATGAAAAATTTTCTGGAAAGTATTTTATATGTTAATTTGTTTAACATATGCTTTGGATTTACAACTAAATAGGAATAAAAAATTCTTTCTTCAAATACTCCCTGTAACAATTAAAAAAACCTCGTTTCTAAATATTTGTTTTACTTCCCACTTGCTCCTTTGTTTGTAATATCATAAGTATCTTGAACTATGCAAAGACTGGATCTTTTCATAGTTCAGAACATATTGTATACTTCAATAAATCTGCTCATTGCATAGCAAACACGTAAACTCATAGAGAATCTATAAATTTTACCCTAAAAAAGTTGAAATTTTACACAATAATTTATACTGAGTTTTATTTATGTTGTAACTTGGGTTTGCTTTTTTATTTTTAATACATGTGTCAGTAGAATACAACAAATGAAAATAAGTCATGAAAAAATAAAGAAAAAAAAAGCAAGTAAGTAATTTTWCCCTAGACTACCAGAATTAAACTTCATTAAATTGTTTGGATTTTTTCCTAACTATAACAAGTTGTGAATGTACTGTGCTGCCTCCTTAAGACAGTGTTCAAAATTAATTTCAACAGTGTGTGTTTAACATAAAGTTAACTATGTTTGCATCAAATAAAATGTTTATTAATGAAAGCTATTTATCATACAAGAAACAGCAAAGATAAGTCATCATTACAGAGATGTACACTAGAGGTGACAGATGTAAAAGTGCATGCAGAGACTTCTGTTTAAAAAGGAAGTAATAAACAATAATACTAAAATTACTGGGGTTTGATCCCTATACTCTTAAATGAGTGAAAGCTTTTCTTTGAATTTACAATTGGAAAAATGCCATTAACAGATAGGACTAATACACATTAGCAAGCAGGAGAAATGAATRTTTTTGGACTTTATTTTACAGCTATTGTTGCTTGACAAATGTGTGGGATTTTTTYCAATAATAATTTTCTTCAAATATGGGGTGGGCATATTACTGCCAGGTTGCTCTGGTTAATACAGGTTTATCTAGTGTTTTTAAACCACATAATTTTAAGCCTTCATTTGTGTTAGACATCATAAAGAACAGAAGTTTTGTTAACATTCAATAAATGACATTTATGTCTCACTCTCTCTCTCTCTCTCTTTTTTTTGGCTCAATAAGTTTTTAAATGTATGATTATCATAACCTAATAGTGTCTTTGTCTTCACTGCAGTGGATTTCCGATCAAACTTTTCCCCTTCTTTTAATACTTTAGGGAATTTTCAAACGTCGGGATGTTTGGCTGTAATGCCCCAAGATTTGTTCTCCCTGAAAAAAATCATAGTGACAATTTATTAACTACAGAGCAACTTGGCTTTTAGGGGTCTGCAATTTCTATTTAGATTTACAAATATCCATTTGTGCTCAATAGACCTAACATTAAATCTTAATCATATTTAAGGTTTCTTTTCATGCAATTACTTTATCTGCTAATTTTTTTATTCTGAAAATTGGACTGAGTTAAATCCGTGGGGCATTACTTGTATTATAAGCACATATATTTAAAGGTACTTCAAGATTGATTTACACTGCATATGCAATGGTGTGTGCATTTAATATGAATCAGAAGTTTGAAAATTTAAAAACTGGTTGTATGTTTGAATATTTAAAAAATTTTCCACTTCCATTTTAATGCCTTTTACATAAAGATATTGAAAACACACTAGAACAGGTAAACTTAAATAAAACTTATGGGAAATAAAACTCCTTAGATTCAAAATGGTTTATTCACACAAATTTAATAGGATATATCACAATTGTTTGGTCCATAAATATTTAGGGGAAATAGTTTCTATACAATGCATTTATCAATAAACAAAGAAACATGGACAATTTTGCTAGACCACTTACTGTACTATAAACACGAAGCTCAATATATAAGATTATTGAATTTATCAACTATATTTGAAAGAGTGCACAACTGCTTTCTATGACATGTTTGTCCCCTCTAACAGGATACACCATAAAAAGAGTTTCAGAAATAAGAGGTAAAACAGTACAAAACTAGTGAGGTGTCAAAAGGGCTTAAAACAGTTAATTTAACAAACAACACATATAATCCTGATTTTTCACAAACTTACTTCCAAGTTATATCATAAGGCACATAGGAGAACTGAGTTATAATTAGTCTACTTAATAAAGTAGATCTATAGTACCATATATTGTTCTGTCAAAGAACAAAATTTATAAGTATCAATATTTTACCTGTAAAAGTGTATTAATAAGATCTCAGCCTTACCAAGGTTGTTTGGTCTGGTTAGTGGTAAATGCCCAAAATGTAATAGAAATATGAAAAGTCAAGATTTAAGCTCCATATAAGATGATAACCACACTTGCTAAATATATAATGGCAATCACACCTTTCTTCTGTTACAGTGTTAACTTATCTTCCATCATCTTTTTTTAAAAAATAAGCTACTTTCTGTGCTAATTTTCTAAAGACCCTGAGCAAAARTTACAATAATGCACTTTAATGTGGGCAGTGAACTGTCAATATGTAACCACACATTTATACAGCCAGAAGGACACCTTTAAAATCTATTAAACAGCCACTCAGACCACCAGAGGAGATTTAAGGGGTCCAAAAAAGTGGAAAATATGTGCAAAGTTATTCTTAACAATCCACTAAAGCAAGACATATATCTTGACTTCTTTTTTATTTTTTTAGGAAATCCACAATCTAATTGGTATTTAACTACAACAGAAGCATATAGATGAACATTCACCACTGCCCAGACCATTAAGATTTTACCTTAAATTAAAAGAAAAAAAAAGCTACTGTAAACTAGGAAATATATTCAGATCAGCATCCACAAGGCTTCTGAGTTTATCTACTTTAAGACTACTAATTTCAAATCTCTAATGCCAGAAAAGTTTGTGTGTGTGTGTATGTGTGAGAGAGAGAGAGATACATTAATCAAACTATGCAAAAATAAAATAAAGCAAAACAAAACCAAAGAATTCTCATTGTTGGTGTTAAGTTTACTGAGTTTTTTTAAAGCATTATTCATAAACAATGCCAGATACAATATCATGGTACAACTGAAGCCAATTAATAGAGATATTAATTAAATCATACCAACTTTTTGACTTCTTAAAAAATCATATTTTGCTTATTTCCATTTTCCCTAGGAAAAAAGGTAAGGTAGAAAGAATATTTTCAGAGTTGTGTTTGCTGTTGTCAGTTGATTTTTCTTTTAGCTTTTGGAGATCAAAAGTATAGAATTTCAAATTCTATGTGGAATTTTCATAGGAGTTTTACAGGGAGTTTAAGTATTTTTTAAATACTGAAGAAACAAAGAATTAAGTAAGAAGGTTTTTAGGTTGTACATCCCTACAAGAAGGAAAAGTCACATTTGTGGAGTAATTTCCCACCTAACTAATCAATGCTATTTAAAATTGTTCTTATTAATGCTTTTGCTTAATCATATTCCTTATTTGAATCAAGAGTTCAAGTAAGAAATAGCAATACTCAATACATTCTTTCAGTTATAAAATTTTAAAAATGTCAAGTTTTCAAAATTTCATAATCACATATACAATTGCAAGATTTAAAAAATAGCTAATTAATTACCTGGTTCATTATCAACCTAATCACTTAAGCAGGAATATGATTATGTACCCACATAATATCACTCTTAACTTTTTTCTTCGAGATTCTGGAAATAAGTAACATACAATTTTAAGAGGCACTTATTAGAATGATTCAAAAGCTCCCCTTACCAATTGAAAGACCTAATTGTTTAAAGGAAAAAAAAAATTCCAAATACACTTTGTAGACAAAATATGTTCACTTAAAAGAGACAATACTGTAAACTCATTTGCCAAGTGGCTGCAGATGCTACACACCAAGCTGTTATTTTTATTCCCCAAATATTTTGTGGGTTAGAAGGAAGAAAAAAAAAAGGGCTTGTAAATAATAAAATAATAATAATTAGAAGAAGAAGAAGAAGAAGAAGAGGAAGAATTTTAAAAGGAAAAAAAAAAAAAACCAATGTTAGAAAAGGTTCGTTAAGGTAGTTTGTGAGGGGCTTCCGGATTCGTGGCTGTCCATGTTAGAGGTCACAGATGTCACTACAGTGATAGTGGGATTGGTCAGGTCTGTTAAAGTGGTCGCAGTGCCGGGTGGAGTGAGAGCGCCGCTGTCTGCTGAGGGCGGGGCCGGAAGCGACGTGCCATCAGCTTTATCAACACCCCCATTCTCCTGCCGCAAAAGGTTCCTTCTGAATTTGGCTCGTGCGTTTTGGAACCAAACCTGCAAACCAATCCCAATTGATTTCTTTACCGATGTTTATTTTTATATATTTCTCTCTCTCTCTCTCTCTTCCTTTCTCTCCTTTTTTTTTTAACTTTTATCTTTTATCTCTTTTTTTTTTCCTGATATATTTCTTTTAAATATAATTGTTTATTTTTCTTGAGAGGGAAGGGGTGCTTTCTCTTTTTTTCCTCATTCTTTCATAACATAGTAACTCAAGTAATACTATATAGATTTGTTCTCTCTACTGCATGTGTCCCCTCCCAGCATTAACCAATGCCACTTGGGACAACTGATGCTCACATGGAGATACCATGAAATGAAAGCACAGAGATAAATCAGGGAAGATATGCCCTCATTCCTCGACTGTTGTCTTATGAGAATGAGGAGAAGCAGGTCGGCTAAAACTACTGCAAAGTAAGAACCACTCATAGGAAGTGAACGTCATTTGAAATAGAGTTTAAGATATCCCTGAGTCCGACACCCAGTAAGTATTTTTCACATAGGAAAAACTCTTCCAGGGCCAGAGACCCCAAATAGCCAGAGACTATGTACCAGAATTAAAACTGTCTGCTATTCATCACTGAGAAATGAGAGAAGATCACAGGAGACTCACGGCAACCCACTATAATTTCATAGCCTTATATTCTTGCCATGATGAATTTGAGGAAGCAATTGGACAGCAGAACTAACTCCCACTTTTTAATAATGGTTTGTTAAAATGAAAAAAAAATATTTGCTCCAATATTTGCTGAGATACTAGCATAACTTTTAGCTTTTGGGCAGTTGGGGGGAAAGCCTGCCTGAATTTGGAAAGCCATAATGTGAGAGAGGCTGCCAAGAACTCAATGGAGTAGGACAGTGCTAGCAGATCCCTCACAAATCAGCGCACTGAGCCTAACATGAATGGAAATCTCCAGAGACATGTCTTGTGCAAATGACAACACTTGCATTTGCACAGGAGTGAGGCAAGCTGAGCTGGTTTTGGAGACCCATCTCCCTATCTGTAGGGAGAACGTGGTTGCATCTTGTAAGACCCTGGATCTCTCTGAGTACCCTCCAGGAAGCCCCTGCAAGTCTCAGTTTACCCTCTAGGGAAATAACTAAGATAAACTAAGAAGAAGCAGAATAGGAAATAGCCACATCAAGCCAAGCGGGGAAGAGAACTATTTACTGGCAAGGGGATGGGAGATGTATGCACAGCCAATGATGGAGGTGTCTTACCTGCAAAACTCTTTTGGTCAGGCCTGTTTTCTGAGCAAGCTGCTTGAGGTCCTTGGCATCCGGATTATGGTTGATGGCAAAGTAGGATTTCATGGTCCGGAGCTGGTGGTGCTTGAAGGAAGTTCGCATGCGCTTGGTCTTCTGAGAGGGTGGATAAGGCTGCTGGTCCCGGTCCAAATGGTCTGCCTCATTCTCATTACAACCTGTTACAGCAACAGGGGAAAACAACTACTCAGTGGAAACTCCTGCATTAATGGAAATGACGGTGGGCTAATGACACTGTTATGATAATAAAGTGACAGAGAAAATGGCTGTCAACTCAATTATGAACAATCTCTAGACAAAAAGAAAGAACTTAATTGCTACCATCAGCCAAACTTGTCTGTTAATGTGGACAAAATAAAAATTTACCTAAGAGGAAAAAATATTAGATAAATCCTCCCTTTTGCTTGATGGTTGGTAAAAACCTTTGAGGAAATGAATAAACCCTAAGTAGGGCACAGGAGAGAGAGACAAGAGCAAAGGGAAGAAACATATTTACATATACCAGCACCCCACTCACTGCCCACATCTATATCTTCCAGACTGGACAATTTGAGACTCTACATTTTTTGTTTGTTTCTGCAAAGACATGTAATTATGTGAAGGCACAGCTTTTTATCAGAAAAGACATGGAAAACAAGTATTTCACCCCTCAAGTTTGAAGTTTTCTGAAAACCCACCAACTAAGGAAGAATTTAAGTCACTTATAATTTTTAACATTTTTCATATTCCTAGAGCTTTCTAAATGAGGAAGAGGAAAGTGGTTAAAAATGGGGAGATGTTAGAAAATAAATATTTGCAAACTTCTTATGTAATCCTAAGAATATTATGTTGGAGGGCTTTCACCTATAACTGATTAGCATAAAGCTATGCCAGGAAGAAAATACTGTTCCCTTGGAGTTATTCTAATAAATATTTCTGAAAGAAAATGAGCCCAGACTTCTCCTCACTCAGTTTATGCCTGAAGCATGCCCCACAGCTCACAGCTGAGCGGCACTGATGGTGCRTATTTCCATTCTCAGGTCTTGGTTCCTTTTGCTCTGGATGTGTGTGTGTGGGATGCGATGTGTACCACTGGCTGGGCTGGCAGAGAGAGGGTGGCATCTTCTCTTCCCTTGGAAAGCTCTTTTGGACACCAAGGGCAAAACAAATCAGTCTTTGAAACCAGCTAAAAAGTCATCATTCCCAGGATGTAAAGCTGCACATTTAAAAGGTCATTCCAAAAACCTGCTGGCTCTGTATAGGAAATACGACTGCAGAATGAAAACATTTTGCTAAATATTTGCAGATTCAGCCAAATTTGCAAATTCAAGCACATGGTAATTTTTTTCCTTAAGCCCTTATTTCATGTATGTATCTGATACATATTCAAATTTCATCATTCTGCATTTTAATGCATTATTTAAAAATCAACCTGATCATGTCACTCAGAAGAGAAAAAAAAAAATTGAAGGGGGGTGGGGAGTACCAGTATCCTTCCAAAAATCTCCAGTACCCACAAAAACAAACAAAAAAAGTGAGGCATCTCTTAATTCTAGTTTTTTTTTTTTTCCTTCAGCTTACCAAAATGTTATCTGCCTGCTTGCTCTGGTTAGAACTACTTTTTTAAACAATATCTAGCACATTTGAAAATATCAAGTTGAACAGTCATCAACAGAGACCAGCTGCGTACAAATCTCGTTTGACAAGAAATTATCCCTGATGTAATAAGACTAAGCAGGAACTAATGTCTCCTAGGCTTGTATTTCCATGAGATATATACATGGGAAGACATACTCTGCAAAGCACAGGTGAGTTCTTTTTGGGAAAAGACTGTATCACATTCACTTCTGGAACTCCCGAGTCACACAGTGGGATAGAAACTCAACAAGATTCAATCAAAATTTAAAATGCTTTGGTCATCAATAAAATTACAAGCAAATGCAAAATCAAAATTATCTGGAAGGAATCCAACTCCGGTATATACATTCAAATGTAAAACATAAACTTCTTAAGCCTGCCAGAAATGGTAACATATACCCAGAGATAGCAGAGAGAATATACTTTACATTTTACCCTATTTCAGCCCAGTGGGGATATGTCAGGTTCAAATAGTCTATAGAATTGTACCTTTATATCCTCAAATGGATGAAACAGCAACTCATGACCTACTATAAAACCATACTTATCTCCAGTAAACTGAACCATATTTCACAGCCAGATTATAAATGTACCCACAACAAAATGGACAAAGAGGGACACAATATCATCCATGGCTTCTTCAAATAAGAATTTCATTCCTATCGTAAGTGAGTAACTTTTCCTGAATGACACATCAAATTGAAAATTACACTTGGGACAGAAGCCTTAACTTGGTGTTTAAATAATTCCCTTATCCATTCCTCCTCCAACATGGTAATATTTCTTAGAAACAAATATGATTCCCAGTTTAGCTATATAATCACTAGTCTTTAAAATGAATTTTATTAAAAATAATTGCAGTAATATTTGATGAAATTGCTTTCCTGAATATGTACTCTGTGTCCATTATTGCTGATTTAAAACTCAACAGAGCATTTTAGTGCATTAATTATAATTGTAGAGCTTGTTTTCACATGAAATATACAATTCAGGGTAAAAAAAAGATAGGTTGTCAGGTCTTTCTTCAACACATATTACTACATACAACTTTCATATGACTATGTTTTCACTTACATATACAACTTAATAGAGAAATATATTTTTCCACGGAGTAATTCAGTTCATTTCCATAAATTATTTGCATTTAACCACAAATATATTATGTAAACTTGAAAATGATTGTGTTCCCCCCATAGCCTGTTTTTAAAGTTTTAGGGGTATTTTCCTCTCTGGATTAAAAATTGTCTCAAACTCCTACCTGTAAATACACATCCAGAATTGCTAACATTAATGAGAAGATATAAATATATTATTTTCAGTCACTTATGAGATGGTCACTTACATCAAGTAAGTTTATGTTCTTCTGAAGGTTTGTATCCTTCTGAGAATTAACTGATTCCTGAGAGACCACTAGGGGTCAGTGCCAGGCTAATTTAACAACAATCGGGAACTTCAGAAGTTTAGGTAGAAAGAACCTAAGGAAAAAAGGTTCTAAGGAGTGGCCAAGAAATGAGTCTCCTCATTAATGATAAATTACCCAAACAGGACCTGTCTATCCTAAACTAATTCTTCTCACCCCTGGAGGGCTTTATTCCAATCCAGTTTTCCAGATAAATGTTCCATGTCTCCTTCAAAAACATCTGCCCAATGAATTTGCACAAAGAAGTATAAACTAAATTAGGAAAAGTCTCATTAAAAGGAATTTGCCTTATGTCAAGAACTAACTGACCTCTGCAAGTTTCATATCTTCTTTAAGAATCTCTGAATGATAAATATGTTTTGCATACATATTTTTGAAAACATATCTCTAAATTATATTGCATTTCATATCAACATTGCCCTAAATTAGGCTTGTTTATAATTAAGCAGAAATGGTGATCTAAAATTCAAAGGAGAATAAAATAGTGAGTTAAAACTGTGGGTCTGTTTTATTTCCTACATTTTCACATAATTTTAACTTACTAAGGGGTTTCTTTCCCTAGTTTTGTAACAAACTGGCACCAGATTCATAAATACTATTTTAAATTTTGTGTGTGGGGGGGGTAGTGTCTGATCAGGCATCTTAAAATTCCTCTAGATTTATTTCTAACTAATTTTAACGAATGTATACTATTTACTCACATCTCTGGGGAAACGTCCAGTAAGGATGGAGTGGATATAGTTCAGTGAGTGATGCACAAACTCTTCAGGTTAGTGGCTCTGAGCAACTTTTCTCTTTCATAGTAAGACTATCAACTTTCTCAACAATGTATAGCAGCACTAATTTGCAAACTAAAGATCTAAGTAGTTCAGAAAGAGGTTTTCGTTTTTCTTAGGAAATGTATATGTATTCTAATTCTCTTCAGAGAAGAGAAGCTAAATTCTATTGTTCCTAAAGTTTCTAGGATCTTTCAACATAAAGTAAGATTCAAGGCAAAATCAAATTTAGCTAATTAGATTAAATAAACTAGAGAAAAGCCAGACTTGCCCACAGTTTAGCTAGAAATCTCCACCCTTCTGGACTTTTATCAGGCTGAGAGATTTCCTCTGTCCAAGGGACCAGCTAGTTATGTATGAGTCCATCTCTCTCTCCTCTCGCTGCCCCCCACCGCCCCACCGCCTCTCTCTCTCTCTAATTAGGGCATTAAGGCCTTGGTGAGTGGCTTGAGATTCCAATGTCATCTTCAATTAATAAAGAACAATTAGTGCCTTGCCTGTCCTGCCCCAGGGACCACGCATCAAAGGACATGAAGTGTGTGCACCAGGCAAAGTGGCCCCTAACCAAAACCTCTGCCCCAGCGCAGCAGGGGCCAGAACAAGGGTGCGGTGGGCTGTGTCTGCCAAAGATTGCCGAAACCTAGTTCTATGCCCACATTCCTCATGCAAAACAACCTTGGTGAAAAGAGTCCCAGGAGACTGCCAGCCCTTTTGCCTTGGTCCACAGACCCACTGTCCTGCTAGGGACAAAAGCAGCTTGGATGGGCTCTGCATTCCCATTATCCCTGAGATGACACCCACTGCACCTGCCCCAAAGCATTTCTCCTCTGCAGTTGGGAGGGGAACCCCAAGAGAGAAGCTAGGAGAGGGCTGAAAGAGTGCCTGCTAATCCCATGTGGCTTCCTCTGCAAACTCTCCTAGTTCCCATGTTCACACTGGCTGTGTGACCTTAAACAAACCACCTAACTGGCTGAGCATCATTCCTTTATCATTAAGCAACAACATCAAGCATCACACCAGATATAAGGGCTGGAAGAGAAAAAGCATGTGTGATTTTGCTTCATGGTTTGCCAGGGTATCTGGGGTGGTCATGATTATGGAGTTGCCACAGTTAGGTGGTTCCCAAGATTCCTCCCAGGAAAGTGGTTTCCCCTGGTCTGAGACTCCTGCTTGCCATGATTCCCAGACAGGTTTGGGCCTGGGCCAGGGCCAGGGTCAAGGCAAAGCAAAGTCAGAGAGTCAAGGTCCTTAAACTCCCCCAAACTGAGCCAGGACTTTCTGGAATCCCTTTTTCCAGTATTTGGGACTCACCAGAGGAACTTCTGTGATACTCAGTGTAAGATAATGGTCTTTCAGTCCTGTCAACAGAGTCACCTGGGGGATGGAGGATGGGGAAAGGCTACCAAAAATGGGAAACTGATGTATGTGTGTGAGACAGACTGATAAATGATAGGCATGCCCCTAAAGCAAAGAGGAAAGTGTGCTCTCAGCCTGTTGCCTGCACTTTGTTTTTAATTAAGAGAGGGGGCTGGTGGAGAACAAAAGAGCAGCCTGAGATACTACTAAGCCTCCCCAGTGGGCCTGCCCTGGAGCTTCTTTCATTTGGCTGGGGTCTGGGGTCTGGATATCTGGCTGGTCTATCACACAGGGAATGAGTAGGCTGGATGAATACCCTGACCTACCAGAGGCTCAGGCCAGCTCAGCTGTGGAGAGTGCTTCCTACCCCTACAGCTGCTTTTTGCCAAAATCAGGGATTCAGTTTTTCAACACTTGCCAACTGTGTTGCTGATTAAGTTTGGGCTGGTGACCACAGCCTCTGCCCCCTCTAGACAGACTGGGGTTAGGCTCTGAAGTTTTGGGCCCCCCCCCCTTCAGTATTTAAGAAAACCTCATCCAGGATCTATAATTTGGCTTCCACAAAGGAATTGCCTTGGGGCTGTTTTGCTCCAACTGGGAGCCAGAAACTAATGGGCTCATTAACTAATGGGCAACAAGGATTTGGCTCTGCCTGTTTGGGGGAAATCACTATAGCCCCACAGTTATAAATGTGTTTTTTTGCTGCAACCTTAATAAAGTGTTGTCTCTCCTCTCCCACTCCTTTCCTCTTCCTTCCTCCTTCCTCTCTCCCTTTTTCTCTTCCTTCAGATTGAGAGGAAGTTGTATTGAGAACACGGGCATTTTGGACAAAGTACCCTCTTTGCAGGCAGATCTTGAAAAGGGAAGGGGCCTTATTGAATCCTCCTGACAACCTGGTGACCGGAGCTTCATTGTGTAAGGATGCCGGCCCACCTGAGTTGTAATTGACGATGTCTACTCCCAGCGCTGGGCTCTTCCTCTTCCGAGGCCGCCCCTTCTGCACCGTGCCGGTGCCATTGAAGTAAGGCAGGGCCAAGCCGCCACTCTTGGCCGCCAGCTCCGTGTAGCTCATCTGTGGAGGATACTCCCCTTGCAAGAGGGTCTCGAAGTGGGCGCGGCAGTACACCAGGCTGTCCTTCATGCCGAAATGGTCGCCTGTGGTCAGAGTCTTGTTGCAGGTAGAACAGGTGAAGCAGCTCAGGTGGTAGACAGAGTCTCGGGCACGCATGACCATCTCAGAGGCAGAAATGCCAAGGTGGCAGCGGGCACATCTCTGCACAGAGAACCTTCTGGAAGGAAACAGAGGGGTCAGGGTACTTGTTGATCGAAGGACAAGCCACTTCTACATGCAATACCTGGGTTTGACTGCAGTAGTCAAAGACTGAGATTTGGGAGGGCTCCAGTAGGACAAGTCACTGGGCCCACTTTCGACATCAATTTATTTGCTCATTGACCTGTTCTAGTTCTGGTGAACCAGGACAAAGATCCATATATTAAAGTCAGAAAATTGGGTACTAAGCTTCAGTTTCTTTCTCTGCATCTAAAAAGAGAGAGAGCAAACAAAAACCTGCAGTAGCTAGTTCACAGCACTATTGAAAGTATTAAATTGCAAATCCAAGTGAACAGCTTCATTGACTACAAAATAGTCTTGAATGAAGGTATTATTATTATGCCTGCACATTTGAGCATGCCTGAAAACATACAGCCAGCCTCGGGAAATGACAATTTTGTAGAGAAAGGTTATTCTTCTTTAACCACCTCCCATCTGCTAAGTGCTGAGCTAGGTCACCTATACATAGTTCTGTCTTTTCCAATCCAGAAACAACTAGAAAGAATCAATAAACATGCCTGATGCTGAATTTTCTCTCTAGTCTAGTGTTAACTAGCCGTAAAGGGAACTCAGCAACTGAATGACTTCGGTTTTGGCAGTGGGATTTATTCCTTTTCATATTCATTTACAAGGTCATCTGCCACCCATCCAATTGCTGCTTCCCGGGTCACCAGTTCAGTTCCAAGGCACCAAGTTACTCAGTTTGTAGTAAGCGGAAAAAATCGAAAACAACAACAAATAAACAAAAAACAAAACCACTCAAGTCTCAGATAATTAACTGAGACCAGCCCATTCACTCTATCCCAGATTTTACCCTGTTCTGTCAACAGATCTGGGAAGAGAAGGGAGTGCACGGTAGTCACTGATAACTGCTCTAGCTAGACCTTAGGTGACTATTGTCATCCATCCTCAGCAGACATCCAGGGGAGTGCAGCTTAAAGGCATATGCTGTAAATTCCCCCAGGTCTGGAGAATGATAACAGTACCCTGAAGGGGCAAAATGTGGAGGATGAAGAGGGGACTCCAGAATGGGGCAGGTGCCCCGGCCCCCCCCCCAGCCGCTGTACTTGGTGTCAGGAAGGTGTACATGCGGGGAGTACCTGTAGTAATCCTCCTTGCAGTAAATGCTACCGTCCTTGGCGAAGCAGGTGAGCTCAGATTCCAGAGCTAGCTTACATTCACAGCACTTCAGGCATCTCAGGTGCCACTGTTTGTCCACGGCCAGTAGGTAGTACCTGTCCGAGATCTTGCCCCCGCAGCCAGCACACAAAGCCGGCTTCTCGGGGCTGAGAGGGGGCATGCCCTGCAAAGCAAGCACACACAAGGCTGAGGAGAACTCCTGGCGTCGCCGCACCATGCGGGATTCCCCGCTAGGCTGCACGAATCCAGGGCGCAAGCAGAGTGCCCGAGAGAGGCTAGGGTCAGGGGCCACAGCTCAAAGGCAAAAGTCGAGAAAAACATTTGCAATTTCTACCTTTGCGGCTCAGTTATCTTCCAAGTTGGCATGAACTGGCATCGGCGTCCTCCTACTATTACAAAACTAAAGACATACCAACCATCCCAATCCTAGCTTTAAAAGAACGGAGAGCCTATTTACTATAGTTTGGTGAGTGTTGTCAAATTAGAGATAATTACAAACTTCAAACTGTGGCTTTCGAAAATACAAAAAAAAAAATCAAACGGAACTTGTAATTAGGAAGTGAAAAGGAAATTTAAACTAGCACAGATTGTATTTGCACAAAACAATAATATTGCAATTGTGTTTCTCTAAATTTGTACAGAGGAAACATTGAAATCAAAAGCCAGGGAGAGAATATAATACCCGTGCTGTTAAATTGGTCAGCTTTGTTTTGGTTGGGATACATTTAGCAGATCCTACTGTTTCTCCATTTTCAGAATGTTTGGTCCTGTTGGTGCTAAGAGTGTGAAGTGACTGTTCCTAAAGAAGGACCAATGTCCAGTTTCCTATACATAATTCCTCTTTCCCTGGCATCAGCATAAACACAAGAGAACTTTGTCCTGAAAATCTGGTGCTCAAATTAAGCTTCCCACCTGGATCCTAACTCAGATAACCAAGATGTTAAGCTCACCTTGAGGAGCCCAGCCTCCGGTTTGGTTACTGCTTTTTAGTTTTAAATAGAATAACCACAGAAGGAAACAAAGAGTTATATCTGGATCTTTTCCTCGATACTAGCAGAAATGAATTGGACTTCCACACGATATTTTGCCGGACATGGAAAAATAAAGTTTCCCCCTTTACTCCAATTAGGGGACCACGCTGAGTTAGTGTTGCAAATGTGGACAAATGCACACACTGTATTTGATGCGATCCAAAACACCACTGGCCGGGCATGAGCAGTCAGTCTCCTGGGGAAGTTTTAGCTACAGTTCTCGGTGTGATACAAGAAGGTCTACACAGCACAGTTTGGCTGGAATCATTTCCGGAGACTTCCAGTTAAGTTTTCTTTCTCCGGTTTATAAATGGGAAAGGAAAACATTTAGATTACTGGTATTTTTTAAGAGAACATGACTTTTATTATTACCAATAATAATAACAGTGGTATTTGATTACTTCGTTTAAGGGTTAGAAAATTCTTGCTTTTGGACTGGGTGCCTCGCTCCTCCGCATTTTTAAATTTTCCCCTACACACATCACCCGCCCAGCCCAGGAACCAAACGCAGTTCTGCACGGATAGAGGAACTGAGCCGGGATGCCGAAGACAAAAATCTCTGGGTTTGGGGTGCCAAACCCTGAGAGTACTGACAATTGGAAATGGACCGGTCGCTTCTGAGTATACTCCAAAGGCCCGGTCTTCTGGTCCAGAGACTAAGCTCACCCGGGCTCCTTCTTGGCTGGGACGCCTGGGCAGCAAGCGGTCTGACTACTGCTTGCGCCGTTTGCCCTCGGGGCTGCGGGATCCTCGCTGGGGAGGCGCCCGGGAATTGGGGAGACTAGAGAAAGGAGTTGGTAGATTGCAGAAGAGGACGCCCCTCTCTTTCCACTCCTGACCGCCCTACTTGCTCGGGAACAGCTGCGACAGAGGGAAATGAGCTTGGGGTTTAGTAGTAAAGGCATTTCAAGTCAGAATGGGAACTTTTCTTATCCCGGCAGAGCTAGGTAGACCTGTGAAAACCCTGAGATCTTCAACAAGACGTCCCTACGACGCACCATTCCCAATCTCGCCAGGCCAGGGAATGGAAGTTCGTTTTAACCGAGCGCGCAGGGGCGCTCGGCTACCGCCAGCGAGGGGCAGTTTCTTACCGCGTCGCGGCCGTTGAGCTGAGTGCCTTTCGCCAGACGGGCCTCGGTCTTGGATCTGCGCTCCATCTCCTCCATAATGCCTTGGATGTGGCCTCCGGAGATCCCGTGGAAGAGCATGGCTGGGGGGCGGAAAGGACACGAATTGTCTTCTGCTCGGCACCCCACTATTTCCATAAACACACACCCGGGGTTCTCAGCTCATCCGAGTGCTGGGGCAAAAGGGACCGCAGAGGGCTGCGCGATGTTGGAACGCAGAGGCGCGCGGGGGACAGAGGGCAAGAGGCAGAGAGCAAAGAAGAAAGAGTCAGACAAAGTGAAAATAGGCCTACTTGCAGAGGGAAAGAGGGGGAAAAAATAGGCGGGGTGGGGGGACTCTGGCGTCTCCCTGAAGGAGATGTGCAGAAAACAAACAAACACGGGCGGAGGGGAAAGGCGAAGGCAAATCTTACTGCTCCGAGAGATCGAGTTACTAATGGGAAACAACTGCAGCGGGGGGGGGGGGGGGGGAAAAAAAAAAAGTTCCCAGTGCCTGTAGGTTGGGTTGGGGACTGCTCCTGCCGGAGCTGTGTCCAATTTGTTAAGAGACTAAAGCCAGCCCATTTTTGATAATTTAGTAGGAGGAGTTCTCTCCCTGGAGCTGCCACGGATTTTTATTCAGACAACAAAGACCTGTCATACTCCTCTCAACCCCCTGGTGATGGGCAAGCAGGGACAAACATTACAAAGGGGTGGGGGGATGGGGCAGTAGGAGGGGGGCATTTACCTCCCCATAACACTCGCGTGCGCGCGGACACACACACACACACACACACACACACACACAACCACATATCGTTCCAAGAGTTCTCAGTAGTCGTGTTTTAAAGAGGAAAGGAGTCCTTGTTTTAAAAGGGGGAAAGGAGCTGTTATTGTCCCCGTCCTGACGCAGGAGGCAGAGAGTCGGCCTATTTGATCTCAGTTCAAGATCGTACCCCAGCTCAGGGCACACAGAAAACCAGCTCAAAACTTTGGGTTTCCTTCTTGTGGACTTTCATCCCCAGTCTACAAAACTGTCAATATATAAAGATTAGGCAGGAATTCGAGCCCCTCACTGGGGTGGAGAATTTAGTGCATGTTTCTTTTCTTCCCAACCCCTCTTTCCTCAGCTCATCTTTTAGAAGCAGTTGTCTGATAGTTCATCTCTTTGCCCCACCTTCCTGGGAGACCCGACACTACCAGGCACTGGAGCGTCCTCCAAAGTGAAAAGGCGCTTAGAGAATCTTTCTGGAGTTTACTTTCGGCAAAAAAAAATATATCTTTTTCTTTGATAAATTAGAGTGTATGGGACAGGGCATAAACTTGTACACTCGGGTATACAGGATGAGTTACTCTCTTACTCAAGGTCTGAAGGAAAACTGCTGAGATTCTAATGTCCCATTTGAATCTTGTCATCGTGGGCAGGACTCTGGCGAGCTGGGCGCCTGCTCCGGGAGAACTGCGCGCCGGCCCCTGTGCGTGCTGTTCCCACTACCCTCGCAAGACAGGGCACTTGTAAAACTGGGCGCACCGCACACTCTGGAGGGTGTGAAAGGGACTCCTTGCTGTGGAGGAGGGGAAGGTGAGAACTGACAAGCAGAATGGCAGACCTGCTCCTCACAAGAGGTGGGATTGTTCTGTCGCTCTCTGTTCCTGTTGGCGGCGGCCCCTCGCCGGCCCCATTAAAAAGTGTCCACAATACTCATATATTGTCGATTCATTCAAAAGGCTAGAGGCTCCTCAGGGGCCCGAAGAGGGGCGCGGCGACAGGAACCAACCCCGCCTTAACCAGAGAAGGGAGCCCGGCCGCTCCTCGCTCCTTGGGTCCCTGTAGCTAGCCTGGGTTTCCCACCACTCCCCGCCAACTTGCCCAGGAACATCGGAGCTAACGTCTTGGGCACATCTTGGAGATTTTAGAAGAGCCAACCGCTTCCATTCCATCACCCTGGGAAGCCCGACATAGACTGTAGCCAAATCAAGAAAGATTAAGGGAGAGAAGTGGAAAGGGAAAGGGGAAGAGAGGAAGAAAGAAAAAGCAAGCATGAGAATGAGAGGGAAAGGAAGAGAAGGAGGGAAACAAAGGAAAGAAGGAAAGATGGAAGAGAGGAAGGAAGGAGAAGAAAGGAAGGAAGGAATGGAGAAAAGAAGGAAAACACCCTCAGCAGCACCCTGACTTCCTGTCCCAATGCACCGCCATCTGAGACTGCTGGAGTTACCTCTTCCATGAAATCCAAGACTCTGTTGCTTCCCTTCGTTTTTTTTTTTTTTCCTCAGGGTCCAAAATAATGTTATTTGCAGATTGGACACTTTTAAGGTCCTCTGGGTGCCAGAATACAGCTCATAAAACACAATTTCACACAAAAAATGAAGCCAATCAAGTGAACTAAGCTGGAGACACCCCCTTACTTTGGCAGCCCTACCTGACAGCAGGGCGGCTATTTACTGTAAGTAATGTAATTAGCCCCTTTGGATGGAAATCAATGAGCTTTTCAAACCCACGTGCACACAGGAAGGGCCCCCAAGGAGGGGCTGGGCGCAGGAGCCCTTTCAGAGACAGCAGGTCCACTCACAAAGGGGCAGATTGCCTTACAAAAGTCAGCAGCTAAACTGACTGAGAACCTGAGAAGGAGGAGAAAGAGGAGGGGTCTACCAGAAGAAGAACATTCAATTAACCCATAGAATCTCCAAACAAAGTAAATGCAGAACCTCAACCCACTCTGTCTAGCTTCTGCACTAAATCCCTCTCCATTCGAAATAAGAGTAGTTGGAAATAGGTTTGGTTATTGTTGGATTTTGGTCCTGCTCAGCAAGAACATTAAAAAAGAAACACCAAGGCACTCTTGTAAGAGACAAACTTTGAAGACTTCATGAGGGAAAAGCTTAACAACTCCTGGAAAAAAAAAAAAAAGTCAGAACTTTGTGAAATTTCCTGCAAGCCCTCCAATCATCCACTCATTTATCTATTCAACACATATATTTAAAACATGTATTAGTTACAGGCAGGGCAGAGCACCTCCAGCAAGCAGCTTCACAGTTGAATCCTAGGTATGATGGCTCTTTCTTGTAAAACTCAGGTTGTATGTTCCAGCGCCCAGTGGGATTTGCTACTTCCCATAAAGAAGGGAACTGCCAGGATTCTTCCTGTTCAGTGAATGCAGGAAGTCTGTGGAAAGCTGGGGGTGAGGCAGAGATCTGTTGGAGTTTGGGAGGTCCTTGTTCGTTCTGTGGAACCACTGGCAGTTGCTGGAGAAGAAGCCCAAGGGAGTTGGAGGTTGGCCTACTAATTGAACTAGGTGTGTCACCTGGAGTATCCTAACATTTTTGTCTAAGAACCCTGAGATCCTTTGAGAGCCCTTCCCTTTCCCTCTCCACTCTCAAAGGACACTGAGCACTTAAATAAGGAGAGCATCTTTGTAGCTTTGCACCCTTTTACGCCTCAATCAGGAGGCTGAGACTGGCAGCAGCTGGGGAGGAAGCATTCCCCCTTTTCACAGCTCAGGAACTGAATGGCCGGCAAGTGTTCTATAAAAGTTAGAGTGCTAGATTTTATCATTTCTTGGGCTAAAACCCCACCTCCATCAATGGGACAGGTGCACTCAGGTTCTGTCTGGCTCGTATCCCCAGTAGGATTTCGAGTCTCCTCTCCGAGTTCTAAGCACTATTACAAGGAATGGGGTAGATCCCTAGCCTGGCGCTGTCCTCTCACTATTGGACATTCGAAATCCACTAGGTTCTTTTTCCTTTCTGCTCCCATCTGATTAATGTTCCCACATTCAGGAAAATGAGAGGCTGGGCTCAAGTGAGACAGCAGATTTTGAATTAATTCTAGATTCTAGAATTTCCATTAAGGTCAACAAAACTAGGGCACACTTGTCCTGGGCTCTGGCAATCCCACCTGGGAAAAGAGTCCCGATAGAGTCGAACTCCCCAGAGGGGAGAAGAAAAGTAAAAAAGGATGTATGGCTTTGTCCTGGGAGAAGATGAGGTTTTAGGGTTGAGGAAGGAAAATAACTCAGTAAACATGCATCTGAGAGCATAGTTGACTCAGGTCTCTTTAGACCTGAATTTGGAGACAATGATCCTGTGTTCCTAAGTTTGAACAAAAAGGGAAGTGCCACCTTTCGCCCAGATTCTATTAAGAGCCCTTCTGCTCTGAAAGGTGAAACTCTTGAAATCCTGTCCCGCCTTTAGCATTGTCGGGAGTACCTCAAGGGCCTCGAGAAGTCAGCGTCTTATTGAGGGCTGAAACTATGCTGAGCGTAGTGCCACGCGGCCTCAGAAGCCCCGACTGCTCTGTGTTGGAGGTGAGCAGATGGCCTGGAGGTGCCTGGGCCTCTCTCTCCAGAGTGGAGACAGAGATTCCTCTACGTGCAAACCTTCCTCAGACCAAGGTTGGCAGATCCCGACGGGTGCTGCCTCCCAGGTGCCCCTCTGATTCAGTCCTGCTAGAGTAGCCTTGGTCAAGAGAATGGGAGTGAATCCAGCGGAGCTGGCGCTGGGAGAGTTCCGCTACCTAGAGAGGGGAGCCCGTGGTCACAGCCCAGCGGCGCACCTTTGCGTGCCGCTAGCTCGGCTGGACTCCTGGGTCAGGACCCTCAGGTCTACACTCTCTGTGCCCATTCACGTCCTCAAAGCCACCCACCAGCTGCTTGCTCCCTTCAAATCTATGTCCTCCTTGGCCCCTGAGGCTTTTTCCAACAGGGCGACTGCCAAAGCTAAAAATATTGCGCTTCTAGAATCGGAAGCCCTTTTACCTGAGATTTGTGGAGCCACTGGCTAACACCTTCCCCAGTCCCCGGAAATAAAGGGGTAAATCCTACGCTGCCTCCCTGGAGATGACGCGCAGAGACCGCTGCGTTGGAATAGGATGGACAACAACAACAACAACAACAAAAAGGTGGGTGAAGCCAGTTTTCCACCCTACAAGGGGGGAATGGGAGTCTTTCCAGCCCACCTCCCATCAGTTTGATCAAGGAGACACCCCCAGCAGCTCAGCAGAGTGTCGGGAGCGATTCCCTCACATCAGTGACTACTAGGGACTCAGTGGCACCGTGACCTCTGCCCGGCGCCCAGAACACCGGATCCTGAGGAAAATCAAAGACATTCATGAGAAAAGCAAAAGGAAGAAAACGCCGGTTCAGGATCCTGCCCTATCAGGA